TAGATAGATAGATAGATAGATAGATAGATAGATAGATAGATAGATAGATAGATAGATAGATAGATAGATAAACACTGACCTATAGTGCTTGATAAGATTAGATCCAGGAACATGGGGAAGGAGGCTATTAAAGAGGGAAACATTGATAACTCTTCCAAACCATTATTTGTTACTGAGAATAGAGTGTAGAGTAGATGCGAATAGAGTAGAGTAGAATAGAATAAAATAAATAGAATAGAATCAAATAGAATAGAAACAGAAGCTTTATTGTCATTTTAAATATACACTAGGTCAGGGTTTGAATGCTCTCACATTTATTTTAGGGAGCTCACAGTTACTTCTGACTTTGCTCTCAATGGATTTCCCTTGGAATCCTTACAGATTTAGGACAATCATCCTCATAATGAGGGGCATACCATCTCAAGGGAACTACAAGACAATTAACTGGAGTGCGGTTAAAAAAGATAAATTGTCTATTTATATTTATTATTTAATCTTAAAAAAGAGTGAAAGAAATTAAGCTTTACTTATTACAGGAGATACAAAATATCTGAGGGGTATATTTTAGAATGTAGGTAATCTCATAGTAGCATTGTACAGGTATACTGCTTTATTTCTAAATAAATATACATAGCATATTAGGGGTATCACAAAAAAAACCCTTTACTGCACAGGTTAAGATGATCAAACAAAGAAAGTTTTGAGACCTCCCAGTTTAGAAAACCTAGGTAACTTTCTGTCACTTTTCTTGCTTGGAAGAAAACTAAATACAGGTAGACCTCGGCCTATGACTGGAGTTGAGACCAACTGTTGTTAAGTGAGTCATGGCAAATGTTACGATCTTTTTTGCCATGGTTGTTAAACTCGGTTAAGTAAATTGTACAGTCATTAAGCTCTCTTGCTCTCCTGCTTGACTTTGTTTGACGGAAGTTGGCTGGGAAGCTTGCAAATGGCAATGTGACTCCGGGATGGTGTAACCATCAGAGGTAGTATTCAGCCGCTTCAGACTGGTTCGGGTGAACCAGTAGCGGAAATTTTGAGTAGTTCAGAGAACAGGCAATACCACCTCTGGTTGGGCCCTCCTCCCACCCCATCGTTTCCTGTCCTATATTACCTTATTTTTTAGCTCAGGTGATTCATGCAGCAGAGCAGATTGCCGCACCTCAGCCAGTGGTGGGTTTCAAACATTTTTGGAACCTCTTCTGTAGGTGTGGCCTGCTTTCCGGGTACACTGGTGGAACCTCTTCTAACCGGTTTGGTAGATTTGACGAACCGGTTCTACCGAACTGGGGCGAACCGGTAGGAACCTACCTCTGGCCTCAGCTGAGCTAAAAACCAGCTCACCAGCACCAGCACTGACACCAAGGATGGTCTTTGAATGCTGCACGCGAAGAACGAGTGTGCAAAGCACACTCTCAAAGAACCAGTAGGAAAAGATTTTGAATCCCACCACTGGTAACCATGTCAGACACATGTCAATTGCCAAGCAACTGAATTTTGATCAGGTGACTGTAGGGATGCTGCAATGGTTATAAGTGTGAGTACTGGTCATAAGCAGTGGTGGGATTCAGCCAGTCCGCACCACTTTGGGAGTACTGGTTGTTAAGTTTCTGAGTAGCTTGGTGAACTGGTTGTTGGAAGAAATTATTAGGGCCGAGAACCTAATCCCACCAGTGGTCGTAAATCACATTTTTCAGTGCTGTTGTGACCTTGAATGGTCGTTAAATGGATGGTTGTAAGTCAAGGACTACCTATATCTCAAAAATTCAGATCACGGTGTGGAGTGCTGCAGAGAAAGGGGAATAATGGGAAAACCTCTATGCAGTTTAGCGAAACCAGGCCCTTGATTTTCCTATTTCCACCTACCTTATCAAGCACATCTGCACATATTCTCAGTAAACCGTTGTAATTGTGAACTATTTCAACTGCTATGACTAATCTTAGTCACAAACTGGGTTAACCACCACCTGGAAGGGACTGTGCTTTTAAAAGGAAGGAACAGACTCCAGCAGAGCAATGGAACAGGTGTTTCCTCCCTGCAACAGCATTGCTTTTGGGTTATATACAACAGGACGTGGTGGGGTGGGGAGGAGGAGCAAAAATTGTGCCATGGGAACTCTAGGCAACACCATCCATAAATTACACAATACAATTTTGTAACTCTGGATGACAACATGGTGCAATTCTAGAATTTTACTATGCTGGAGAGTATGTAGCAGTTAGCTCTGGTTCTGAGAAAGAGATTAGCAATTGGGGCCCAGAATGCCCAAACCTCCCTCTTTCCTCCTCACTCCCTTTCCTATTATGTTACAGTAGTGGCCAAAATTGTGGAAACTTTTTTGGAAAAGTGTATTTTTGAGGTTTTATGGCTAATAACACCACTTTTTCTTAGTAGTACCATAAAATTATATATTAATGGAAAAATAATTTAATTCAACAAAGTTTGTTCAATTATCTGTATTCTATGAAAAGTAATAGCCAAAAAAAAAAACAGAAAAAGGAAGCACAACTTGCTTAGGTTGATATCAGGTAGCTTTCCTTCATCTGATTGTAACCAATGAGCATGAGTGTTTACAGAGTCAATCAGGTGTCATCTTGTTTTGGTAATGAGCCAACCAGATCACAGTAGGATTCAGTTATTGATGTCATGTATTGAAGTTGAGAGGAGGACATTTGTCAGTGTGTTATGTGATTGCTATGAAGTTGGTTGAAGTTTTTTGCATTCTTTCATTTAGTGAGTTTGTAACGTAATAATAAAATTAAAGTAATTATGCAAAGAGTTGACTGGTCACCCAGAAAGCGATGTGACGAAAATAATGTGGGTGTATAGAAAATGAAACGGCGCAATGCAATGTGAAATTGAGGGCAAGGATTGTTTGGTGCAGACTGCAGAAATTTGGCCTACAGTCTAGCATTCCACACAAAAAGCCACTTTTATCTCTCAAACAAAGGTTGAAAAGATTTAAACATTTTACCTGGACAGAGGATATATAATTTTATGATACTACTCCAAAAAAAAAAGTGGTGTTATTAGCCATCAAACCTCAAAAATACTGTGCACTTTTCCCAAAAAGTTTCCACAATTTTCCGCTACTGTATGTCTTCTGACTTCTTTACAGGTAGTCCTCGACTTACGATCACAATTGAGCTCCAAATTTCTGTTGCTAAGTGAGACATTTGTTAAGAGAGTTTTGCTCCAGTTTACGACCTCTCTTGCCATGGCTGTCCTGTGAATCTCTACAGTTGTTTAGTTAGAAACTTGTTTGTTAACTGAATCTGACTCCCACATTGACTTTGCTTGTGAGAAGATCACAAAAGGTGACCACATGACCCTGGGAAACTGAAACTGTCGTAAATAGGAATCAGTTTCCAGGCGTCTGAATTTGGGCCACGTGACCATGGGGTTGCTGCAATGGTCATAAATATGAAAAATGGTCATAAGTCATTTTTTTCAGTGCCTTTGTAACTTTGAGTTTAAGTTGTTGTAAGTTGAGGACTACCTGTATATTAAAGAGAGGACGACCTTACTATGTAAGCTCCTCAGGTTAAGAAGTATGGCATAAATATCGGACATAAGCAAAAAGCAAAACTGCCTTAACCGAATTATCTTTCTATCTTTCCCAGGTCCTGCCTTGAATCTCATTTTGCAACACCGCCTGCATTTGATATTCACCGATGCCCCAAGCTTCAGGAGAGAAATGTGGAGCAACTTTTGAAACTCAGTGTTATGGTATGTGGGAAAGGCCTTGGGGACAATGGGTGGAGGAACGCTGCAAAGGAAGCATCAGATTAAAAAAAACAGAAGCACCACAGTGGACAAGTAACAAGGAAACACCCTCCCTAGTTTCTCAGGCTGTAAAGGAGAGGTGGGGAAATTGTACTTTCATTCTTGCAAGACTCTGTTAATGTAGCTTTACAATAAATAGAATACAGGTCACTAATCCTCGACGTGCGATCACAACAGGGCCCCAAATTGAGGTTGCTATGTGGGAAATTTGTTTGAGTGAGTTTTGCCCCATTTTACCAATCTCCTTGCCACATTTGTTAAGCGAACCCCTGCAATTGTTTAAATTAGTCACATTGTTATTAAGTGAATCCGGCTTCCCCCATTGACTTTGCTTGTCAGAAGGTTGCAAAGGAGATCGCAGGATGCCCCCCCCCCCACCGGGGGACATTGGAACAGTCAGAAATTTGAACCAGTTGTCAAGCATATGAATGCAAATCACACGACCATAGGGATGCTGCAACCTTAA